CTCCGGGGGTCGTTCTGGGCTCCGTTCTCGGGGACGTTCTCGTACTCCTCCCCCTCCCCCTCCCCTGTGACGTCACGAGGTCAGTGATGACATCACCGCTGACATCACAGGGTGGGCGGGGTTTATTTTGGGGTGGGGGAGGGGTCTCTCTCTCACCTGGGGGTCCCGGGTGGGGAGGGTCAGGCAGCACCGTCCTGGAGGGGGAGGGGCAGGGGTCAACGTTGAGGAGGGGAGGGGCCGATCAAGGTGAGGGGTCAAGGTCAGAGGTCAAAGGTCAAAGGTGACTCACACGTATCCGCTGGCGAAGGGCTCGTTGGTGTAATCGTCCTCCTCCTCCTCCTCAGGGGAGGGGGCGCTGGGAGGAGAGGAGGGTCACTCGGGGTGGGTCACTTAGGGAGGGTCAGGGTCATTTTTGGGGGGAGGGGTCAAGGTCACTCACCCGGCTCGAGGCGGCCGAGACGCGGCGGCTCGAGGGGCCTGGGGGCTTGGGGAGGGGAGGGGAGGGAGGGTGGGGGCTTTGGGGAGGAGGGGCTTGGGGCCCCTGCCCATCCCCAGGAGCCCCACCCCAACCGGAGAGACCCCGCCCATCGCAACAAAAGCCCCTCCCCACCCGGGACCACCCTATGGGCCCCTCCCCACTCACAAGCACCTCCCCACCCCTGGAGACCACCCCATCAAGCCCCTCCCCACCCACAAGAACCCCTCCCCACTCAAAAAGGCCCTCCCCACCCCATGAAGCCCCTCCCCACCTCCCACTGAGCCCCTCCCCACCCACAAAGCCCCTCCCCACCTCCCACCGAGCCCCTCTCCCACCCACAGAGACCCTCCCCCACCCACAAGCCCCTCCCCACCCCTAGGTTCCACCCCCATTGAGCCCCTCCCCACCCACAAAGCCCCTCCCCACCCATCGAGGCCCCTCCCCCATCCATCGAGGTCCCTCCCCCATAACCCCCTCCTCCCACCCACAGCCCCTCCCCACAGAGCCCCTCCCCACCCAACAAGCCCCTCCCCCACCCTCCCCTCGGCCCCTCCCCACACCCACCCCTGTTCCGGGGCTCGTCAGGGCCCCCAGGGCGGCTGTGGGGGGGGTGAGGAGGGCACCTGAGGGAGACACCGAGGGAGGGGTCAGTGAGGGGAGGGCCAGGGAGTGGGGGAGGGGTGAGATCTGGGGGTGGGGAGGAGCCAGTGAGGTGGGGAGGGAATCTGGAGGGAGGGGCAGGGAGGAGGTGGGGAGGGGCCGGCAGGGGGTCAAAGGTCACTCACAGCGCTGCGTCATCACCATGAACCGGGGTGGGGGAGGGGCCATGGGGGGCCTGGATGGGGGAGGGGGAGGGTCAGAGCCCCTCCCTCAGCCCCTCCCCCACCCGACCCCTCCCCGCCCCTCCCCACTCACTTGTAGTCGTAGTTGTCCAGCAGGGGCGCTGATGAGCTGGGGGAGGGGGGGTCACGTGACCCCAAAATGACCCCGAGTGACCCCGAAATGACCCCAAAATGACCCCGAGTGACCCCAAAATGACCCCAAAACAACCCCAGGAATCCCCCCAAAATCGAGCCCAAAATAACAAAACGACCCCAAAAGTGACCCCCAAAATAACACGAAACGACCCCAAAAGTGGCCCTAAAATGACCCCAAAAGTGGCCCCAAAATGAGCCCAAAATTGATCCCAAAATGACCCCAAAAGTGATCCCAAAATGACCCTGAATTGACCCCAAAACTGATCCCAAAATGAACCCAAAAATGACCCCAAAAGTAACATGAAATGACCCCAAAAGTGGCCCCAAAATTGATTCCAAAAGTGACCCCAAAATGCCCCTGAACTGACCCCAAAATTGATCCCAAAATGACCCCAAAAATAACACAAAACGATCCCAAAAGTGGTCCCAAAATGAGCCCAAAATTGATCCCAAAATGACCCCAAAAATGACCCAGAAATGACCCCAAAAACGACCCCAAACGACCCCTAAAAATGACCCAAGAATTGATCCCCAAATGACCTCAAAAACGACCCCAAAACTGACCCCAGACCCCCCCAAAAGTGACTCCAGACCCCCCAGGACCCCCCAAAACCTCCCCAAATCCCCCCAAAACCTCCCCAAATCCCCTCCAAGGCCTCCCCCGGGACTCCCAGAGCACCCAAAACCCCTCCAAGCCCCCAAAATTCCCCCAATTCCTCTCCCAGGCCCCCAACCTCCCCCAAATCCCCTCCAAGCCCCTCAAACCCCCTCAAATCCCTCCAAGGACCCCAGGACCCTCAGAGCCCCCAAACCCCTCCAAGCCCCCAAAATTCCCCCAACCTCCCCAAATCCCCTCAAGCCTCCCAGGACCTCAGACCCCCAAAACCCCTCAGGCCTCCCCAAAACCCCCAGACCGCCCCAAATCCCCTCAAATCCCTCCAAGGCCCCTCCCGGGACTCCCAGACCCCCAAAACCCCCAGGCCCCCAAAAGTGCCTCCAGCCCCCAAATCCTCCAAGCCCCTCCTGGGACTCCCAGAGCCCCCAAATCCCCTCCAGGCCCCCAAACCCCCCAAATCCCCCAAGCCCCTCCCGGGACTCCCAGACCCCCAAAACCCCTCTAAGCCCCCAAAGCCCACCCCAAATCTTCAAGCCCCCAAGCCCCTCAAATCCCTCCAAGGACCCCCAGGACCCTCAGAGCCCCCAAACCCCTCCAAGCCCCCAAAGCCCCTCAAATCCCCTCAAGCCCCTCCTGGGACTCCCAGAGCCCCCAAAACCCTTCCAAGCCCCCAACCCCCCAAATCCCCTCAAGCCCCCGAGACTCCCAGACCCCCAAACCCCTCCAGGCCCCCAAAATCCCCCAAATCCTCCAGACCCCCAATTCCCCCAAATCCCTCCAAGCCCCCAGGACTCCCAGAGCCCCCAAACCCCTCCAGGCCCCCAAAATCCCCCAGCCCCCAAGCCCCCCAAATCCCTCCTGGTCCCCCAACCCCCAATCCCCTCAAGCCCCAGGACTCCCAGACCCCCAAAGCCCTCCAAAGCCCCCAGAAGCCCCCAAAGGGCCCTCCCGGGACTCCCAGACCCGAAACCCCTCCAAGCCCCCAAAATCCCCAAATCCCCAGCCCCCAAACTCACGGTGAGAGGCGGCAGCGAGCGCAGAGAGAGGCCAGGATGGGGGTGAGGGGCAGGCAGACAGAGGCCCAAGGGGGCGTCCATGGGAGCTGGGGGACTCCAAATTTGGGGAGGGTCGGGAGGTCAGAAAGAACCTCAAATTGGGGGTGGGACTAGGAGATGGGGACTGAAACCCCAAATTAAAGGGGAGGGGCAGCAGGAGCAGAGCCCAAGGGGGCGTCCATAGAGGGCTGGGGGGACCCCAAAGTTGGGGAGGGGTCAGAGGAGCTCAGGAGGACCCCGTGGGGGTGGGACAGGAATTGGGGTCCAAGACCCCAAATTGGGGGGTGAAGAGAGAGGCCTCCATGGGGGCTGGGGAGACCCCAAATTTGGGGAGGGTCAGAGGTCAGAGACCCCCAAATTGGGGAGTGGGACAGGATTTAGGGTCAAAACCCCCAAATTGGGGGGGTAAAGAGGGGCGTCCATGGGGGGAACCCCAAGAGTGGGGGGGTGGGGAGGGGTCAGAACGTTGTGGGGAGGGTCAAGGAGACCCCAAAATTGGGGGTTGGGGGGGAGGAATTGGGGAGGGATCCCAAATTTGGGGGGTTGTTCGGGAAGAGACCCCAAAATTTGGAGGAGGAGTCAGGAGGCTCCAGCCCTAAAATTTGGCAGTCCCAGAAGCTCAACTCCCCCTCCCCAATTTTGAGGTCCCCTCCCCCAATTTGGGGTCCCAAAAGCTCCAGCCCCCACCCAAAAAATTTGGGGGTGTGTCCCATCCCTGGTGTGGTCGCCCCCAAACCCCCAAATCCCCAGACCCCCAAATCCCCCAATTCACCCCAAAATCCCCCAATTCACCCCAAAACCCCCAGACCCCCAAAATCCCCTCCCCCTCACCTGTGGCCCGCCGCTATCTCGGGCGCCCCAAAATCCCGCAGGGGTCACGTGGGAGGCCCCTCCCCTCCCCCCTGCCCTCCCCGGAAGCTGCGGCCGCTCGTGGGGCAGGAAATGTGGGGGGAGGGGCGGGAAGAGGGATTTGGGGGAGGGGAAGGGATTTGGGGGGAGCTCAGAAAAGGCACAGACCCCGAGTGGGGAGGGAGAAAAAGAGGTTTATTTGGGGGGGATGGAGGGGAGGGAAGGGGGACACCCCCAAAGTGGGTCCAGAACCCCCCAAAATGGGTCAGGGACCCCCAAAAATGGATCAGGGACCCCAAAATGGGTCCCAAACCCCCAAAATGGGTCAGGGACCCCCAAAATGAGTCAGGGACCCCAAAAATGGATCAGGGACCCCCAAAATGGGTCCCAGATCCCCTAAAAATGGGTCAGGGACCCCCAAAAACGAGACCCAGACACCCCCCCCTCCAAAAATGGGGTCCCAGCCCCCCCTTCCCCTCCCCCAAATTTTGGGTCCCCGTGGTCTCCGTCCCTCCCTGGGGGGGGAGGGGGGGGTGTCCCTTTTTTTGGGGTCAAACCACCCCTTTTTGGGGTCAGACTCCCCCTTTTTGGGGGTCCAACACCCCCTTTCTGGGGTCCCATCCCCGTTTTCGGGGTCAAACCACCTGATTTTGGGGTCCCATCCCCATTTTCGGGCTCGAACCACCCAATTTCAGGCTCAAACCATCCTTTTTTGGGGTCAAACCACCCAATTTTGGGGTCAAACCACCCCAATTTCAGGCTCAAACCACCCAATTTCAGGGTCAGACTCCCAATTTCGGGGTCAAACCACCCCTTTTCAGGGTCAAACCATCCTTTTTTGGGGTCAAACCATCCGATTTTGGGATCAGACCCCCCTTTTGGGGTCAAACCCCCCAATTTCAGGGTCAGACTCCCAATTTCGGGGTCAAACCCCCCAATTTCGGGGTCAAAGCCCCCATTTTGGGGTCACATCTCCCAATTTTGGGGTCAAACCCCCCAATTTGGGGTCCCCCCCCCCTGCTGTGTTTTGGGGGGGGGTCAGGCCAGCACGTGGGCCACGGGGACCTTGTGGGGTCCCCGCCCCTCCCCCCGGGGCACCACGATGGCCCCAAAATCCTCCTCGGGGGCCTCGGAGTCGTCGTCGTCGTCGTCGTCGGCCCCGTCCGGGGGCAGCCCTGGGGGAGGGGTGGGGGTTAAAGGGGGGGAGGGGAGGGTGGGGGGACCCCCCCTGACCTCCCTCTGGCCCCTCCCACGAAGAAATTGTCATTATTGTTATAATTATTATGATTAATTATCACTGAGTCCTCCCGCCCAGCAGGGGGCGCCATAATATGAGATTATCATCATTATTATAACTATTAATTATCAACTAATTATTCTTAATAACCCTGGGGAGTGGGGGGAACCCCCCTGACCTCCCTTTGACCCCTCCCACAAAGAAATAATCATTATTGTTATAATTATTATGACTAATTACCACTGAGTCCTCCCGCCCAGCAGGGGGCGCCATAACATGGCATTATCATCATTATTATTGGAACTATTAATTATCAACTAATTATTCTTAATGAGCCTAGGGAGTGGGGGGGACCCCCCCAACCTCCCTCTGGCCCCACCCACCTGAGGGAATTATTGTTATTATTATAATTATTATGATTAATTATCACTGAGTCCTCCTGCCCAACAGGGGGCGCTATAATATGAGATTATCATTATTATTATTATAACTATTAATTATCAACTAATTATTCTTAATGACCCTGGGGAGTGGGGGACCTCCCTGACCTCCCTCTGGCCCCTCCCATGAAGAAATTGCCATTATTATTATAATTATTACGATTAATTATCACTGAGTCCTCCCGCCCAGCAGGGGGCGCCATGATATGAGATTATCATCATTATTATTATAACTATTAATTATCAACTAATTATTCTTAATGAGCCTGGGGAGTGGGGGGGAACCCCCCTGACCTCCCTCTGGCCCCACCCACCTGAGGGAATTATTGTTATTATTATTATAATTATTATGATTAATTATCATTGAGGCCTCCCGCCCAACAGGGGGCGCCATGATATGAAATTATTATGAATTTATTATATATGATTATATGAAATTATGAAATCATGAATATTTATTATTAATTTATTATTAATTCGTCATTAACTCGTCCCTAACTGGTCGCTAATGGTTAATTATCGTTAATTTGTTATTAATTCACCAGTAACTTGATAGTTTGTTAATAATTTATTATGAATTTATTATTAACTCATCATTAACTCATTCCTAACGTATCATGAATGGTTAATTATCATTAATTCGTTATTAACTTATCATTAATTTGATAGTTTGTTAATAATTTATTATTAATTTGTTATCAATTTGTTATGAATTCGTCGTTAATGGTCAATTATCATTAATTCGTTATTAACTTATCATTAATTTGATAGTTTGTTAATTATTAATTTATTATTAATTTGCCATTAACTCATCCCTAACTGGTCGTTGATGGTTGAATATCATTAATGTGTTATTAATTTATCATTAATTTGATAGTTTGCTATTAATTTATTATTAATTTACTATTAATTCATCATTAACTCATCTCTAATTGGTCGTTAATGGTTAATTATCATTAATTCATTATTAATTTATTATTATATTGATAGTATGTTAATAATTTACTATTAATTTACTATTAATTCGCCATTGACTCATCTCTAATTGGTCGTTAATGGTTAATTACCGTTAATTACCGTTAATTACCGTTAATTAGCACTCACCCCGTGCCTCCCTGCGGGCTCGTCTGCGGTCACGTGACAGGCTCTGCCCCGCCCACAGGAAGGCCCCGCCCCCCAGGGCGCAGCCGAAGGGGAGGAGCAAAAGAGCCCTTTGGAGAGACAGCGCCCCCTGCTGGAACGAGAGCGACGAGGCCCCGCCCCCCAGAGCGTCGCTCACCTGCAAGGACCAGTACGGACCAGTAAGGACCAGTACGGATCACTACAGATCATTACAGACCACTACGGACCAGTACGGACCAGTAAGGACCAGTACGGACCAGTACGGATCATTACAGACCAGTACGGATCATTACAGACCAGTAAGGACCAGTACGGACCAGTAAGGACCAGTAGGGATCATTACAGACCAGTACGGACCAGTACGGACCAGTAGGGACCAGTAGGAACCAGTACGGACCAGTACGGATCATTACAGACCAGTATGAACCAGTACGGACCAGTATAAACCAGTAAGGACCATTACAGACCAGTATGGACCAGTAGGGACCCCCACTGCTCCCAGTATGGACCAATATGGCTCCCAGCACTCCCAGTATGGCCCCCCCCAGTGCTCCCAGTATGGACCAGTATGGATCATTACAGACTAGTAGGGACCAGTAAGGACCAGTATGAACCAGTATGGACCAGTAGGAACCAGTAGGGACCAGTACGGACCAGTAGGGACCCCCCACTGCTCCCAGTATGGACCAATATGGCTCCCAGCACTCCCAGTATGGACCCCCCAGTGCTCCCAGTATGGACCAGTATGGACCAGTATGGACCAGTATGGATCCCCCAGTGCTCCCAGTATGGACCAGTAGGGACCCCCCAGTGATCCCAGTGTGGCCCCAGTGCCCCCCCAGCGCTCCCAGTACGGGTCAGGACAGCTCCCAGTGCCCTCCCAGTGCCCTCCCAGTGCTCCCAGTACAGGCCAGGATGACCCCACACTCCCCTCCCAGTCCCTCCCACTCCCCTCCCAGTCCCTCCCAGTCCCTCCCAGTGCCCCCCAGTGCCCCCCAATCCCCTCCCAGTCCCTCCCAGTCCCTCCCAGTGCCCCCCAATCCCCTCCCAGTCCCTCCCAGTGCCCCCCAATCCCCTCCCAGTCCCTCCCAGTCCCTCCCAGTGCCCCCCAATCCCCTCCCAGTGCCCCTCAGTCCCTCCCAGTGCCCCCCAGCCCCTGTGCCAGTGCTCCCAGTCTGACCAGTCCCACGAGGTAGGGGCTCCCAGCGTCCCCCAGTAAATGGGACGCCACGATCTGCAGGGCCTCGGCCGTCGAGCGCCGGGGGGGCGGCACCACGTACTGGGAGGGCACTGGGATCAACTGGGACGCACTGGGAGCCTCCCAGGCACCGCCCAGTCCAGCCCAGGGACCTCCCAGTTCAGCCCAGTAACTCCCAGTAACTCCCAGTCACTGCCCAGTGCTCCCCAGTTCAGCCCAGGGACCTCCCAGTTCAGCCCAGTAACTCCCAGTAACTCCCAGTTTATCACAGTGACCTCCCAGTGCCTCCCAGTCAACGCCCAGTGCATCCCAGTTCAGCCCAGTCCATCCCAGTAACTCCCAGTTTATCACAGTGACCTCCCAGTGCCTCCCAGTCACCGCCCAGTGCCTCCCAGTTCAGCCCAGTGACCTCCCAGTAACTCCCAGTTTATCACAGCGACCCACCCCCAGTTCAGCCCAGTGACCTCCCAGTGCTCCCCAGTTCAGCCCAGTGACCCCCAGTACCTCCCCCCAGTGCCCCCCAGTCCCTCCCAGTCCCTTCCCAGTCCCCTCTCAGTCCCCCCAATCTCTCCCAGTCTCTCCCAGTGCCCTCCCAGTGCCCCTCAGTGCCCTCCCAGTCCCTCCCAGTGCTCCCAGTCTGACCAGTAGGATGTCGGCCACAATAGCCCAGTTCAGGGCCAGGAGGGTCTCGCCCACGAAGATGAAAACCTGGGGGGGGGCACGACCAGTTCAGACCAGTACAGACCAGTATGGACCAGTACAGACCAGTTACCTCCCAGTTACCTCCCAATTACCTCCCAGTTCAGCCCAGTTACCTCCCAGTTCAGCCCAATTACCTCCCAGTTCAGCCCAGTGCCTCCCTAATCACCTCCCAGTCCCTCCCAGTCCACTCTCAGTTTATCCCAGTCCGTCCCAGTGCCATCCCAGTCCCCTCCCAGTGCCCCCCAATCCTCTCCCAGTGCCCCCCCAGTCCCTCCCAGTGCCCCAGAACCCCCCATTATAGCCCAGTATAACCCAGTATAAACCCTTCCAGTATAACCCAGTATAAACCAGTATAACCCATCATAACCAATCCCAGTATAAACCAGTATAAACCAGTACTCACGTATGCCAAAGGGGGGCAGGGCAGGGCCATCAGCAGGGCCATCATCAGACAGGGGGCCCCCCCCAGGAGCCCCCCAGTATAACCCAGTATAACCCAGTATAACCCATCCCATCCCAGTACAAACCAGTATAAACCAGTATAACCAGTACTCACATATGCCAAAGGGGGGTATGGAAGGGCCATCAGCAGGGCCATCATCAGACAGGGGGCCCCCCCCAGTGAGCCCCCCAGTATAACCCATTATAACCCATTATAACCCCATCCCATTACAGTATAAACCAGTATAAACCAGTATACCCAGTACTCACATATGCCAGTGGGGGGCAGGGAATTGCCCAAATCAGGGCCATCATCAGACAGGGGGCCCCCCCCAGTGCCCCAGACCCCATCCCAGTACAAACCAGTACAAACCAGTATAAACCAGTATAAACCAGTACAAACCAGTATAACCAGTACTCACGTAGGCCAGTGGGGGGCAGGGCAGGGCCATCAGCAGGGCCATCATCAGACAGGGGGCCCCCCCCAGGAGCCCCCCATTATAACCCAGTATAACCCATTATAACCCATTATAACCCATCCCAGTACAAACCAGTATAAACCAGTATACCCAGTACTCACGTAGGCCAGTGGGGGGCAGGGCAGGGCCATCAGCAGGGCCATCATCAGACAGGGGGCCCCCCCAGTGCCCCAGAACCCATCCCAGTACAAACCAGTATAAACCAGTATACCCAGTACTCACATAGGCCAAAGGGGGGCAGGGCAGGGCCATCAGCAGGGCCATCATCAGACAGGGGGCCCCCCCCAGGAGCCCCCCCGCGCACAGCAGGGGGTCGGCGCGGGGGCAGCGGGGGCGGAGCCTCCGGGAAAGCTCCGCCCCCAACCCCACCCCCAACACCCCCGAGCCGCACGTCAGGGCCCCGAACAGCAGGCTGGGGTCAAAGGTCATGGGGAGGGGGAGGGGGGGTCAGGGGGGCACCGTAATGGACACCCCATGGACCCCCAAATCCCCTCCCCATCCCCCAAATCCCCCAGCCCCTCCCCAACACTCCCGAGGCCGCACGTCAGGGCCCAGACAGCAGGCTGGGGGCAAAGGTCATGGGGGGGGAGGGGTCAGGGGGCACCGTAATGGACCCCAGGGACCCCCAGATACCCCCCAGACCCCAAATCCTCCCCTCCCCCATTCACCCAAATCCCCCCCAGCCCCTCCCCCAAATCCCCTCCCCATTCACCCCAAATCCCCCTGAGCCCCTCCCCAAATCCTCCCCAGCCCTCCCCCAAATCCCCTGAGCCCTCTCCCCATTGACCCCAAATCCCTCCCCCATTCACCCAAATCCCCAGCCCCTCCCCACATTGACCCCCAAATCCCCCAGCCCCTCCCCCAAATCCCCCAGCCCCTTCCCCTATTGACCCCAAATCCCCTGAGCTCCCCCAACCCCAAATTTGGGGTCTCACCCACCCCTGGTCCCCCAGTCCGGGTCTCACCCACCTCTGATCCCCCACAACTCCTCTATTCTGGGGTCTCACCCACCCCTGGTCCCCCCAAATTCCCCCAAACCCCCCAAATTGGGGGTCTCACCACCCCTGGTCCCCCATAACACCCCCACCCCAAATTTGGGGTCTCACCTCTGGTCCCCTAAACCCCAAATTTGGGGTCTCACCACCTCTGGTCCCCAAATCCCCCATAGCTCCTACTCCCCAATTTGGGGTCTCACCCACCTCTGGTCCCCCAAACCCCCAAATCCCCATAAGCCTCCCCAGCCCCCATTTGGGGTCTCACCCACCCTGGTCCTCCCAATTTGGGGTCTCACCCCCCTCTGGTCCCCCAAACCCCCCATAACCCCCAAACCCCCCAATTTGGGGTCTCACCCACCTCTGGTCCCCCATACCCCAATTTGGGGGTCTCACCACCCCAAACCCCCCCAATTTGGGGGTCTCACCCACCTCTGGTCCCCCCATACCCCAAATTGGGGGTCTCACCCCTCTCTGGTCCCCCCAAATCCCCCCATACCCCAAATTTGGGGTCTCACCCACCCCTGGCTCCCCGCACTTTGGGGTCTCACCACCCTGGTCCCCAATTCGGGGGTCTCACCCACCTCTGGCCCCCAAACTCCCCCAACCCCCAATTTGGGGGTCTCACCCACCTCTGGTCCCCCTGGCAGCGCCGCCCCCCCCGGCAGGGCGGCCCCTCCCCCCGGGCCAGGCGCACCCGGTACAGGAAAGCCGGAGCCCAGAGCGCCAGCGCCCCGGTGACGAAGGCAACGGCCGTGAATCCAAGGGTGGAGAGCACCAGGGTACGGCTGGGGGAAAAACCACATTAAAATAGAAAAAAACCCCGTTAAAATAGAAAAAATCCCCGTTAAAATACACCCAGAATAACCCAAAATAACCCCAATCCCCCCCAGCGCCCCGGTGACGAAGGCAACTGCTGTAAATCCCAGCGTGGAGAGCACCAGGGTACGGCTGGGGGACAGAAAATCCCAAAAATCACATTAAAATAGCAAAAAACCCCGTTAAAATAGAAAAATCCCATTAAAATAGCAAAAATCCCCATTAAAATACACCCAGAATGGCCCCAATCCCCCCCAGCGCCCCGGTGACGAAGGCAACGGCCGTGAAACCCAGCGTGGACAGCACCAGGGTACGGCTGGGGGGGAAAAACCACGTTAAAATAACCCAAAATAGCAAAAAACAGCAAAAAACCCCGTTAAAATACACCCAAAATGGACCAAAATAACCCCAATCCCCCCCAGCGCCCCGGTGACGAAGGCAACGGCCGTGAATCCAAGGGTGGAGAGCACCAGGGTACGGCTGGGGGACAGAAAAAAACCAAAATCCCCGTTAAAATAGCAAAAAACCCCGTTAAAATACACCCAAAATACACCCAAATCCCCCCCAGGGCCCCGGTGACGAAGGCAACTGCTGTGAAACCAACGGTGGAGAGCACCAGGGTACGGCTGGGGGACAGAAAAAACACATTAAAATAACCCAAAATAGCAAAAAACAGCAAAAATCCCCGTTAAAATACACCCAAAATGGACCAAAATAACCCCAATCCCCCCCAGCGCCCCGGTGACGAAGGCAACGGCCGTGAATCCAAGGGTGGAGAGCACCAGGGGACGGCTGGGGGACAGAAAAACCCCAAAAATCACATTAAAATAGCAAAAAACCCCGTTAAAATGGCCCAAATTAGCAAAAAACCCCATCAAAATAGCTCAAAATAGCAAAAAATCCCATTAAAATGGCCCAAAATAGCCCAAAATGGCCCCAAAATCTCCCCCCTGGGGACCCCACAAGGGGACACCCCCGGGGTCCAACTGGGGGGGGAGGGGTCAGGAGGGACCCCCAAAAAATCCCATTAAAATAACCCAAAATAGCAAAAAATCCCATTAAAATGACCCAAAATGGCCCAAAACTACCCAAAATGGCCCCAAAATCCCCCCCTGGGGACCCCCCAGGGTCTGGCTGGGGGGGGGGGACGACACAGGGGGGGTCAGAAGGGGTTGGGGGGAACCTGCCAAAAAAAACCCAAAACCCATTAAAATACCCTAAAATTGACCCAAAATAGCAAAAAATCCCATTAAAATGGCCCAAAACGACCCAAAATGACCCCAAAATCCCCCTGGGAACCCTCCAGGGTCTGGCTGGGGGGGTCAAGGGGGTCAGGAGGGGTCGGGGGGGGACCCCCAAAAAAAAACCAAAACCCATTAAATACCCCTAAAATTGACCCCAAAAAATCCCCAAATCCCCCCCAGGTGTGAAAGGTCAGAGGTCAAAGGTCAAAGGTCAAAGGTCAGGACTCACTTGCGGGCGAGCTCCCGGAGGTCGTGGCTCCAGCCCCGGGGGAGGGCGGGCGGGGCCCGGGGGGTCCCTCGAGGGCCCCTCTGGGGGGGTCGGAGACGACGGCGACGAGGAGGAGGAGGGACAGGAACCCCAAAACGGGGGTCACCTGGGGGTCAAAGGTCACACAGAGGGGTCAAAGGTCACACAGGGGTCACCCAGGGACAGGAACCCCAAAATGGGGGTCACCTGGGGTCAGAGGGGTCAAAGGTCACACAGGGGTCACTCAGGGACAGGAACCCCAAAATGGGGGTCACCTGGGGGTCAGAGGGGGTCAAAGGTCACACAGGGGTCACCCAGGGACAGGAACCCCAAAATGGGGGTCACCTGGGGGTCAGAGGGGGTCAAAGGTCACACAGGGGTCACTCAGGGACAGGAACCCCAAAATGGGGGTCACCTGGGGGGTCAAAGGTCACACAGGGGTCACACAGGGACAGGAACCCCAAAACCGGGGTCACCTGGGGGGCAAAGGTCACACAGAGGTCATGGGGGGTCATGGGGGTCTACAAACCCCAAACTGGGGTCACCTGGGGGGGTCAAAGGTCACACAGGGGTCATGGGGGGGTCACAAACCCTAAAACTGGGGTCACCTGGGGGGTCAGAGGGGGTCAAAGGTCACATGGGGTCATGGGGGGTCACAGGGGGGTCACAAACCCCAAAACCGGGGTCACCTGGGGGGCACAGGGGGGTCAAAGGTCACACAATGGTCCTGGGGGTCACCCAGAGCTCAGGGGTCACTCAGGGGTCAAGGGGGGTCACTGAGGGGTCAGAGGTCACTCAGGGGTCACTCAGGGGGTCAGGAGGTCACCGAAAGGTCAAGGGGTCCCAGGGTGGCCCCTCCCCCACTCACCCGCAGGGCCCAGCGCCAATCGGCTGCCACGTCCTTGACCTTTGACCCCGCGATGCAGCCCAGGCCGCTGGGGGAGGGGCAGGGGGGAGGTTGGGTCACAGCCCCTCCCCACTCCCACCCAGACCCTCCCCACCCCCATGACCCTCCCCAGCCCCTCCCCCACCCCTCCATGGCCCCTCCCCACCTCGTAAGTCCCATCCGGCCCTCCCCCACCCCTTTGGCCCCTCCCCACCCCACTTAACCCCCTTGGGCCCCCTTTTTACCCCCATTTAACCCCACTAATTAACCCATTAATTAGTTAATTAACCCTCACCTCCCCAGAGGTTCCATGAGGTAGAAGGCCCCCAGGGCGCCATTTAACCCCATTTAACCCCTAATTAACCCATTAATTAATGAACTCTCACCTCCCCAGGGGCACCATGAGGTAGAAGGCCCCCAGGGCGCCATTTAACCCCTAATTAACCCATTAATTAATTAACCCTTACCTCCCCAGAGGTACCATGAGGTAGAACGCCCATTTAACCCATTTTTAACCCCTAATTAACCCATTAATTAATTAATCTTTACCTCCCCAGGGGCACCATGAGGTAGCAGGCCCCCAGGGCGCCATTTAACCCATTTTTAACCCCTAATTAACCCATTAATTAGTTAATTCTCACCTCCCCAGGGGCACCATGAGGTAGAAGCCCCATTTAACCCCTAATTAACCCATTAATTAGTTAATTCTCACCTCCCCAGGGGCACCATGAGGTAGAACCCGCCCAGGGCGCCATTTAACCCCTAATTAACCCATTAATTAATGAATTCTCACCTGCCCAGGGGCACCATGAGGTAGAACCCGCCCAGGGCGCCATTTAACCCCTAATTAACCCATTAATTAATTAACCCTTACCTCCCCAGGGGCACCATGAGGTAGAAGGCCCATTTAACCCATTTTTAACCCCTAATTAACCCATTAATTAGTTAATTCTCACCTCCCCAGGGGTACCATGAGGTAGAAGGCCCCCAGGGCGCCATTTAACCCCTAATTAACCCATTAATTAGTTAATTAACCCCTCACCTCCCCAGGGGTACCATGAGGTAGAAGGCCCCCAGGGCGCCATTTAACCCCTAATTAACCCATTAATTAGTTAATTAACCCCTCACCTCCCCAGGGGTACCATCAGATAGAAGGCCCCCAGGGCGCCATTTAACCCCTAATTAACCCATTAATTAATGAATCTTTACCTCCCCAGGGGTACCATCAGATAGAAGGCCCCCAGGGCGCCATTTACCCCCTAATTAACCCATTAATTAGTTAATTCTCACCTCCCCAGGGGTACCATGAGGTAGAAGGCCCATTTAACCCATTTTTAACCCTAATTAACCCATTAATTAGTTAATCCTCACCTCCCCAGGGGTACCATGAGGTAGAAGGCCCATTTAACCCATTAATTAACCCATTAATTAGTTAATCCTCACCTCCCCAGGGGTACCATGAGGTAGAAGGCCCCCAGGGCGCCATTTAACCCCTAATTAACCCATTAATTAGTTAATCCTCACCTCCCCAGGGGTACCATGAGGTAGAAGGCCCATTTAACCCATTAATTAACCCATTAATTAGTTAATCCTCACCTCCCCAGGGGCACCATGAGGTAGAAGGCCCCCAGGGCGCCATTTACCCCCTAATTAACCCATTAATTAGTTAATTCTCACCTCCCCAGGGGTACCATGAGGTAGAAGGCCCCCAGGGCGCCATTTAACCCCTAATTAACCCATTAATTAGTTAATCCTCACCTCCCCAGGGGTACCATGAGGTAGAAGGCCCCCAGGGCGCTATTTAACCCCTAATTAACCCGTTAATTAGCTAATTAACCCCTTACCTGCCGAGGGGCACCATGAGGTAGAAGGCCCCCAGGGCGCCATTTAACCCATTTTTAACCCCTAATTAACCCATTAATTAGTTAATTCTCACCTCCCCAGGGGCACCATGAGGTAGAAGGCCCCCAGGGCGCCATTTAACCCATTTTTAACCCTAATTAACCCATTAATTAATGAATCCTCACCTCCCCAGGGGCACCATGAGGTAGAAGGCCCCCAGGGCGCCATTTAACCCCTAATTAACCCATTAATTAGTTAATCCTCACCTCCCCAGAGGTACCATGAGGTAGAAGGCCCATTTAACCCATTAATTAACCCATTAATTAATTAATCCTCACCTCCCCAGAGGTACCATCAGGTAGAAGGCCCCCAGGGCGCCATTTACCCCCTAATTAACCCATTAATTAATGAATCTTTACCTCCCCAGAGGTACCATCAGATAGAAGGCCCCCAGGGCGCCATTTAACCCCTAATTAACCCATTAATTAATGAATCCTCACCTCCCCAGGGGTACCATCAGGTAGAAGGCCCCCAGGGCGCGGCTCCGGGCGGGTCCCCGGTACAGATCGGCCACCAGGGTGGGGGCCAGGGTGGAATAGGCGGCCTCCCCCACCCCCACCAGGGCCCTGCCCGCCAGCAGGGCCCCAAAACGCTGGGGGAGGGGCAGGAGGGGTCAATTGGGGGTGGGGGAGGGGCACAGGTCAGCCTCCCCCACCCCTACCAGGCCCCTGCCCGCCAGCAGGAGCCCCAAAGCGCTGGGGAGGGCACAGGGTCAGGGGGGAGGGGCACAGGGGTCAGCCATGACCCTCCCCCACCCCAGCTCAGAGCCCCAAAACGCTGGGGGAGGAGCACAGGGGTCACAGGGGTCACCTACACCCCTCCCCCACCAGGGCCCTGCCCACCAGCAGAGCCCCGAAACGCTGGGGGAGGGGCACGGGGTGAATTGGGGAGGGCACAGGGTCACAGGGTCAGCCACGCCTCCCCACCCCCATTCACAGCCCCCAAAACGCTGGGGAGGGGCACAGGGTCACAGGGGTCACTTGGGGGTGTGGGGAGGGGCAGAAGGGTCAGCCATGCCCCTCCCCACCCCCGCTCAGAGCCCCAAAGCGCTGGGGAGGGGCAGGAGCAGAGGGTCGAGTGGGAGGGGCCAGCAGTGGGACCCTTTCCCGCCCTCCCCACCCTGGGCTTCCTCGATTTTGGGGGGGTGAACTGGGAGTCAAGGGTCCTCCCCCACTCCATTTGGGGATCAGAAGGGGTGGGGAGGGGTTCCCACCACCCACCCCTCCCCCTCCTTGACCCCTCCCCCTCCTTGACTCCTCCCCCACCCCACCAAGACCCCCAGGTGACCCAAATGTCCCCAAAATATCCCCAAAACGGCCCCAAATGACCCCAAAAGATCCCAAAATGATCCCAAGCTGGTCCCAAATGTCCCCAAAACGCCCCCAAAATGATCCCAAACGACGCCCAAATCACCCCAAACGACCCCAAAACGGCCCCAAAATGACCCCCAAATGGCCCCAAATGACCCCAAACGACCCCAAAATCACCCCAAAAGATCCCAAGATGCTCCCAATGTCCCCAAATGTCCCCAAGGTTCTGACCTGGGGGGGCACAAAGCTGGTGGCCAGGGTGACCCAAATACCCCCAAAATGACCCCAAAATGCCCCCAAATGTCCCCAAATGTCCCCAGAGTGACCCCAGGTGACCCAAACGGCCCCAAAACGCCCCCAAACGACCCCCAAATCACCCCAAAAGATCCCAAAATAGTCCCAATGACCCCAAAACATCCCAAAATGCCCCCAGATGTCCCATTTCTGACCTGGGGGGGCACAAAGCTGGTGGCCAGGATGACCCAAATACCCCCGAAATGACCTCGAAATGACCCCAAATGATCCCAAAATGCTCCCAATGAACCCAATGACCCCAAACATCCCCAAAATGTCCCCAAAAGTCCCATTTCTGACCTGGGGGGGCACAAAGCTGGTGGCCAGGGTGACCCAAATACCCCCAAAATGACCCCAAAATGACCCCAAAATAAGTCCCATGACTGGGCCAAACTGATGCCAGGTGACCCAATACCCAAATGACCCAATGACCCCAAATGATCCCAAATGGCCCAAATGACCCCAATGATCCACCCCAAAATGGTCCCAATGACCCCAAAATGATCCCAAATGACCCCAAAATGACCCCAAATGTCCCCAAGGATCTCACCTGGGGGGGCACAAAGCTGGTGGCCAGGGTGACCCAAATACCCCCAAAATGACCTCGAAATGCCCCCAAAATGATCCCAATGACCCCAAAATGGCCCAAACATCCCCAAAATGTCCCCAAATGACCCCAAAAGTCCCATTTCTGACCTGGGGGGGCACAAAGCTGGTGGCCAGGGTGACCCCGGTCCAGAGGGCGAGTCCCAGCGCCAGGAGCCGCTTCCGGCTGTGCCGGTCCCCCAAAAACCCAAACACGGGGGCCAGGACCAGGTAACTGCTGATGAACACTGGGGGGACACCCCAAAATCAGGGACACCCCAAAAAACCCCAGGGGAAACAAAGAAACCCCCAAAAAATCCCATAAAGTACAAAAAAAAACCCAAAAAATCCCATAAAATACAAAAACCCCTCCCCCAAAAACCCAAACACCGGGGCCAGGACCAGGTAACTGCTGATGAACACTGGGGGGGACACCCCAAAATCAGGGACACCCCAAAAAATAACACAGGGAACAAAAAAACCCCGAAAAAATCCCATAAAATACAAAAAAACCCCAAAAGTAACCAAAAAAACCCAAAAAATACCCAAAAAACCCCTCCCCCAAAAACCCAAACACGGGGGCCAGCACCAGGTAACTGCTGATGAACACTGGGGGAGGGGCACAGGGACACCCCAAAATCAGGGGGGACACCCCAAAATCAGGGACACCCCAAAAAATAACACAGGGAACAAAAAAAACCCCCAAAAATACCATAAAATACAAAAAACCCTCCCCCAAAAACCCAAACACGGGGACCAGGACCAGGTAACTGCTGATGAACACTGGGGGAGGGACACCCCAAAATCAGGGACACCCCAAAATCAGGGACACCCCAAAATCAGGGACACCCCAAAAAATAACACAGGGAACAAAAAAAACCCCGAAAAAATCCCATAAAATACAAAAAAACACCAAAAAAATACCCAAAAAAATCCCTCCCCCAAAAACCCAAACACGGGGGCCAGGACCAGGTAACTGCTGATGAACACTGGGGGGACACCCCAAAATCAAGAGAGACACCCCAGAAAATAACACAGGAAACAAAAAAACCCCGAAAAAATCCCATAAAATACAAAAAAAACCCAAAAAAATACCCAAAAACCCCTCCCCCAAAAACCCAAACACCGGGGCCAGGACCAGGTAACTGCTGATGAACACTGGGGGAGGGGCACAGGGACACCCCAAAATCAGGGACACCCCAAAATCAGGGACACCCCAAAAAATAACACAGGGAAACAAAAAAACCCCAAAAAAATCCCATAAAATACAAAAAAAACCAAAAAAATACCCAAAAACCCCCCAAAATACCCAACAAACCCCTCCCCCAAAACCCAAACACGGGGGCCAGGACCAGGGAACTGCTGATGAACACTGGGGGAGGGGCACAGGGACACCCCAAAATCAGGGACACCCCAAAATCAGGGACACCCCAAAAAATAACACAGGGAACAAAAAAAAACCCAAAAAAATCCCATAAAATACAAAAAAACCCAAAGAAAACCCAAAAAAACCCCCCCAAAAATACCCAAATGGGGTGTGGTCGAAAGGGGGGGGTGTCCCCCCAGGTGAGTGGGCGTGGCCAAAGAGGGTGTGGCCAAGTGGGGCGTGGTCAGAAGGGGTGTGTCCTCTTAGATAAGAGGGTGTGGCCAAAGTGGGTGTGGTCGAATAGGGTGTGGTCAAAGTGGGTGTGGCCAAAATGGGTGTGTCCTCTTAGCTGAGTGGGTGTGGTCAAAGTAGGTGTGGCCAAAGTGGGTGTGTCCTCTTAGATAAGAGGGTGTGGCCAAAGTGGGCGTGGCCAAATTGGGTGTGGTCTCTTATATAAGAGGGTGTGACCAAAGTGGGTGTGGCCAAAGTGGGTGTGACCTCTTAGATAAGAGGGTGTGGACAAAGTGGGCGTGGCCAAAGTGGGTGTGGCCTCTTAGATAAGAGGGTGTGGCCAAAGTGGGCGTGGCCAAATTGGGTGTGGTCTCTTATATAAGAGGGTGTGACCAAAGTGGGTGTGGCCAAAGTGGGTGTGACCTCTTAGATAAGAGGGTGTGGACAAAGTGGGCGTGGCCAAAGTGGGTGTGGCCTCTTAGATAAGAGGGTGTGGTCAAAGTAGGCGTGGCCTAAGGGGTTGTGGCCAAAGAGGGCGTGGTCGAAGTGGGTGTGACCTCTTAAACAAGAGGGTGTGGTCAAAGAGGGCGTGGCCAAAGTGGGTGTGTCCTCTTAGCTGAGTGGGTGTGGCCAAAGAAGGCGTGGCCTCCCAGGTGAGTGGGTGTGGTTTACAGGGGTCATGACCTCCCAGCTGGGTGGGCGTGGTCAGAAGGGGCGTGGTCAGAAAGGGGGCGTGGTCAGGAGGGGGCGTGGCCAGAAGGGGGCGTGGCCTCACCTGTCTGGAGGAGGCCGGAGCTGCTGTCGCCGATCCCGAAATAATCCTCGACCTCCGGGAGCACCCCTGGGGGGGAGGGGCCAGTTGGGGGACACGCCCACCTCGACCACACCCACTGATTTACATGGGACACGCCCAACCCCTCCCCCCACCCAAACCACTCCTCCTGCCCCTCCCTCACCCAAACCCCACCTCAAACCCCCTCCCCACCCTCAAACCACTCCCCCACCCAAACCCCACCTCCTGCCCCTCCCCTTCAAACCCAACCCTCCCCCCACCCAAACCCCACCTCCTGCCCCTCCCCTTCAAAGCCAACCCCTCCCCCACCCAAACCCCACCTCCTGCCCCTCCCCCACCCAAACCCCACCTCCTGCCCCTCCCCACCCAAACTCCACCTCCTGCCCCTCCCCCACCCCAAACCCTGCCTCCTGCCCCTCCCCCAAGTTTCTGCCCCTCCCCCACTCAAACTCCACCTCCCGCCCTCCCCACCCAAACTCCACCTACCGCCCCTCCCCCAACCCAAATCCTGCCTCCTCCCTCCCCCACCCACCAAACCCCTCCCCACCCAAAAACCCTGCCTCCTGCTCCCTCCCCACCTCCTCTACCCCTCCCCCACCCTCCAAGTCCCTCCCCCAAACCCCACCTCCCGCCCCTCCCCCAAACCCCACCTCCCACCCCTCCCCACCCTCAAACCCCTCCCCCACCCAAACCTGAACATCCCTCCTCCCCACTCCAGACCCCTCCTCTCCCCTGCTGGCCCCCTCCCCACCGGCCACGGTGAATCTGTCCATGTAGTTGAGCAGGTTGATGCCGCAGAGCACCAGGACGGTCCCCAGGGGCGGGGCGGGGCCTGCGGGGGAGGGGCGAGCCCAAGGGGCGGGGCCGGCCCGAGGTGGGGAGGGGTGGAACCTCCGGCCCTGCCCCC